GTTCACTGCCTTCTCAACAGATTTCCCTTTGGGGACTCTGACCCTGCCTAACAAATCCTTGAAATCTGGGTGGAAACCTCTATGACCTGATGACTGGCATTGTGGGTATTTACAAAAGCAGCCCCATCCACCCACATTTTATCAGAGTCCTGATATTCTCAAACCTCCACAAAATGTCACATTAAGCTATGTTTACAATGATCTCGAACATCTCCAAAGTCTTTCAAATTATCCCCTCCCCAAACCATTTAAGAAGTCCTAAGAACCACATGGTCAATTTTAGTCACACTGTGACCTTGCTCTTAGAACCAATTTTTCAGTAGTAGTTTACCTTTGTGATTTCTGTGGAAGAAAACCCTTGGCACCAATGACTTAAAGGGGAGTGATGATTTTAGCTCACATTTCTTTCTTTTTTTTAAATTTATTTTTACATTCCAATTCCAGTTCCCCTTCCCTCCTTTCCTTCCACTCTCCCCTTCCTCCCATCTACTCCACAGAGATGGTAAGGCCTCCCCTAGGAAGTCTACTAAGTCTGTGCCATCATCTCATTGAGGCAGGACCAAGGCACCTCCCACCCCCGTACCCCTGTGTCTAGGCTGGGCAAGGCATCTCTCCATACAGAATGGGCTCCACTGAGTCAGTTTGTGCATTAGTGTTAGATCTTGGACCCACTGCCAGTAGCCTCATATATTGTCCCAGCTGCACCATTGTCACCTATATTAAGGGAGTCTACTTCAGTCTTATGCAGGTTCCCCATTTGTCAGACCTGAGTCAGTGATCTCTCACTAGCTTGGGTCAGCTGATTCTGTGGGTTTCCCCATCATGGTCTTGACTCCTTTGTTCATATTTTTGCTCCTCCCTCCCTTTGATTGTATTCCAGGTTAGCTCACATTTCAATGTTCTGGGCCACATTGTTTCTGGGCTTATGGCGAGGTGGAATAACATGGTGGTGGGAGTGTACGCAGGAGCAGGTAATAGGGAGAAAGAAAGGGAGGGGTTGGGCGCCTTCCTACCACCAGACCTAGAACCCGTCCCTAAGGTTAACTCTCAGCAGGGTCTTGAGCTACAGCATTCAACATACAAAACTGGGGGACAGTTCACATCTGTGTCCTAAGAGTGAGTGAGAGAAAGCCAATTTGGATGAGGACACTGGGTTTTTCTTTGCAGGTGAAATACGTGAGTGTGTGTGTGCGCGCGTGCCCGCAGAAGGGAAACATTAAGGAACAGGGCAGAGGCAAGGTCAAGACTCAGAGGTCAGGATTCTGAGGTAGCAAAGCTGATGTGGGGCTGAGTAATGCAGATGAAGGATGTGAAAGGCTTGAGAGGTGGCAACAAGCCACGTGGTAGCCATCTGAAAGGCCACTCCCTTACAGCAGCTCATGGCCTAGAGGATACCCTCAGGGAATTCAGTGTATGTTAACCAAGGCCTTCTGCCAGGGCACTATGCTCTGGAGGACTCATCTTGGCTGGCTCTCTGGGGCCCTTGAAGGGTATCTCCAGGTACCCCAGGGGTACATTCCTTGTGCCTAGAGACTTGAGTCATATTCTGTCACAGGGTTCTTTCATTAACAATGTATAAGCTGTCTCCTTTTACCTATAGAAGTATAAAGCTTTTAGAGTTGGCAAAGACCATGAATATCATATAGTTCAAGCCCAAACAGCTAGCCAGAGTAGAAAGACTGCCGAGCTTGTCAGAGGCAGAAGAGAATTGGAATCCAAGTCTTTGGACTTTTAAGAACATAAAACTTTAAGGACTGTTACAACAACAACAAGAACAACAAAAACGACATACTACACAATAAGGCAACAGGTGAGTGCACCATTGTTTCACGAAAGACGCATGCTCATCATCGGAATTATCTGGAGCAAGAACGCTTCAGCTAATTAAGAGCTAAATTTAATTTACATAAATTTAGTTTCAGGCTTCCCAGCAACCAAGCAAAACGAGAGTTGTGATGGCTCATGTTTTCTTCCTACCTGGCAAAAGACAGCATAGAAACAAAAGATTTAAGTACCCACGGGGAGCAGATGGAACTTGTGGGCCCTGCAACAGAGCCTTCAGTCATTCACTGCACAAACACGGAGATCCCACAGAAGGTCCCCGAAAAGTGGTTACCAAGGAGCTCCTTAACTAGTGGAAGATAGACAGTTAAAAGCCAGCTTGTTAGGGGCTGAGCAGCGGGGAAGCGCAGGGAGCTGGGGTCTGGTGGAGAGGAGATTCATAACCCATGAGGGAGAAGCAAGGCCCTGGGGGATCTCAATTGTTAATGGAGTCCAATCAGCCACCTGTGGAGTGAAGGACTGGGCAATTGGGACTAGGGCATCACTGAAGCTGGCAGACCCCCAAAGCCCAGTGGTTTGGGGAGGTATTTTATGCACACCCATTGGCTATAGTGACATTCTTGCTGCAGGGCAAAAAGAGGACATAAGTGGCACCAACTCGACACATGCTGGCCATCGTTACCCATATACACGCACTCCCGGAGCTGTTGCCTGAGATGAGGACATCTTCGTTCTCACCCACAGACCTGGCCCCACTCAAGAAAATCAACTGGTACCGTCTTACCTTCCGCGTGGTGTCCAGTTGTTTTTCTGCCATTTGGACTTTGAAAATGAAAAATCGAGGACAGGTTTGGGTGGGGTGGAGGAAGGATGTGAATATATTAGTTATGATATGGAGAGAGACAGAGACAGAGACAGAGAGAGACAGAGACACACACACAGAGACAGAGAGACGGGGGGCGGGGGGGGGGTAGGAGAATGAGAACTTTCCAAAGCAAATGTGTTTTCCTCTTTCTTTATGTACTTTATTTGAGCAGCAGGTGAGGAAGGAATTTCCCTTGTAGGTGACAAACCAGAACTGAAGGACCATGTGACCATGTGACTCCCCATGGGATTCAGGAAGATGGTGACATGCCCCCCACCCCCACTCCTTGCTCTTCCACGTTTACCATTTCTGTGCCTGGCTCCCTCTTCAGGACAGTGTCTAATTGTGCCACCTCTTCTATTCACCCAAGGACTCACTGCCCTCTGCACTACAGGTGCCTTCTACAGGATACAGACTGACAAATATGTCCTTGCCCTGAAGCAAACAAGGCTGGACCTGTGGGATAAACTTTGTGCTTTGGAAATGCTCAAGTAGCTGACTGCTGGGGGAGAGGCGGGGGCATTGATTCTATGACGCTGGTAGACTGCAAACATTTAGAATGATTTAGGTCTTAGATTAAAGGTGATGAATAGTTTATGAAAATTACCTTCCACAGTCATGTGCAGAGAGCGGGACAGACAAATGCCTTGGGCATTCTGTGACTCCAGAGGGGCAGGCTTGAGGGGACCAAATAATGAAGAACTGGGAACAGAGGTCCAAATAGGCTCTATTGTGGCCTGTATCCTCATTTTGCCTTCTCTGAGCCAGGTTCTCCAGGGTCTTCAGTGTCTTCTGCTGGCTGCTTGGGACCCTCTCTTATGGGCCAGACCTGATTTGAAGACATAGGCATCAAGGGCTAATGAGATGAGATGACTCAGTGGGCAGAAACACTTGCCACCAAGGCTGACCATCTGAGTTCAGTCCACAGGAAGCAGGGGACCGAGCCCTGAAAGTCCTCTGAGTCCCTCTTCCACATGCTAAGGTGCCAATGTACCCACACATATACATACAGATAAATACAATGTAATAAAACAATAAATAAGATGTAGGCCCCTGGTCCTTGAACCTACTGCTCTTTTCCCACTGACTCTCAGTGTGGGGTTTGATGGACAAGGAACTAGGAGAAAGCCCACAGACACCATAGGGTGATTACAAGAAGTTAAAGAAAAAAAAAACAGCACCTTTTTTCTTCTGTGTGGATCCCTCTTGTCTCCATTGGCCTGGTTTTGCTAGGTGACTGTCTGAAGTGATTGTCACCAAGTCTGGGTTAGGGGCCTGGGGCTGGGAGCAGTCTGGTGGGAACCCTGAGAACACTGGGCACCCACAACTCTGAGCAGCTGGCTTTGAGGAATGGTTGCATATCTGCACAACTTAAAAATCTGCAGTTTGGGGGCGGGAGGGGGAGCGCGGGGGTGGGCCCCCACGCGTCCCATTTCTCTTCCGGGCTGTTGGTTGTGTTTTTGCTCAGTGCCGGTGCGGAGAGGCCAGGCGTGTCTTCTGGACCACAAGCTGCCCTTGCAGAGGTCCTTGGCTTGCAGAGGTCCTTGGTTGTTAAATCAACCCCGATCGGAGCCATCTCCCGGTGACTCCCTTTCCCCCCTCTCCCCTTTCCACCCAGTTCCTCTGCTTTCTCCATATGATGTGCACATGCCTGGTGCATGTGTCCAGCCATCTCTTCTGACTTGGTAAGTCGAGGAAAGGAACAAATCGTCTCATTCCACATTGTGTATGAGGTCTTCAGGGAGCGGGTGGTGGCAAACAGTGGCAGAAACGGGGTCGTTTCCTCCTTCACACTTTGTTGTTAAACAAGTTGGGGCCTCGTGACAGCTCAAGAAAACCCCGGCAGTTTTGCAAAGTGTTGCTTTGGCCGTGACTTTCGAGAGGCATTTTGCTCGGGCCACGGGAGAGATCATTTTTCTTCGGCTGGACTGCGGATCTCTCCCAGGCGTGCGCAAGGTGGGAGGCGTGGGACGTGACCTTGACTCCCTCTGGGACAGGGCGGGACACTCCCGAGGTGACTCTGCACTTGGGCCTGAATCGCAATGCAATTCCCGCACTGCTGGGTCTGGGTCCAACCATCGGTGCACGGAGCTCGCTGTGGGACATCCTTAATCCACATCTGTCCGCGCGCGAGCGCCGCGCCGCGCCCTGGGCCGGGGGAACCCTGGAGGAGAGCTGATCGCCAGGCGGCGGGAGGAGCGCAGAGCAGCGGGGCGTTGACTGAGACGTTGGCCCCGCCCGGTCCCGCCCGCCTCTCTAGGCGCCCAGCTCCGGCCGGGCGGGATCCCCGGACTCTGCGACCGCGCGGGCTAACCCGCTCTCCTGCCGCCGCGGCGGCGGGCGCGGGGCCGCGCGGTGAGGCCGGATCCCTGCAGCGCGGGCAGGCGGCGTCGCCGAGCCCAGCCAGCCGGACGCGCCAGGACTCCAGACTCCAGAAGGTACCTGCTCGGTTTCCCACCTTCCCGTGCGCCCGTGACACTTCTCCATGAGACCCCTCAACTTTATTTTTACCTTCCCCCACCTTTTGCTCTTGCAGTCCCTGGTGGCTCAGGTCGCGGGTGCACGACCTCACAGGTCTGTGTTGACTAGGGACTTTGCATCCAGCTGGGCGCCTGGCTTGCGGCTTCCTCCCCATCCGCCAGTCCCGGAGCTGGGAGTCCGCTGTCGCTGGAGCCCCGGCTCTGCCTGTTGCGCAAGCCGCAGACTGCCCGAACCGAGTGCGGGTTTCTTTGGACGCCCGCGGAAGGGAGCTAGAACCAGCTTTTGGGGTAGGAGGTGAAGTGGAGGACCGACTAGTGGCTAGAGAATGGGTGAGCCAGGGAAAGGCGGCACCTCGCGTGGGGGGCATCCCCGGGGCGTTTCCTAAGCCAGGAAGCCCTTCCTTTCTTTCTTCGGGAGGAGGTGCTTTCCTGGCAAATGTTAGTGTTTCTCGGGCCTCCTGCTCCGCCTTCTCGGCCATTTCTCCCCCCTCCCCTCTGCCCTGCAGTGTTGCAAGGCGCCCCGCGACAGTTGCTAGCAAGAGCGTACCCAGGGCTTCTTGTCCTGGTGCAGCGCTGCGCCTGGGGACAGTCAGTGCGCTCTTGGTGGGGCGGCTTGGGAGTCACTGGGCCCATGTGGAATGGTCTCCAGAGTTTCCGCAATTGAATCTGCAGTAATGGCGCGAGGTGGGCCCGCAGGGTCAGGAACTCTTAATTTCTTTCTTCCTTGCTGGTGGCTCCTGTCAGACCACAGGAGATGCCTGGAACGAGCCAGACCTGCCGGCAGGGGCCGCGGCGAGCCTGGCTAGGGCGCCTTTCGCATTGCAGAGCTACCCTTGTGCCCCTCCGATTTAGGATAGGAGCACCCTTTGCGTCCTTGGTTTTCCCCTTCCTTACACTTGTCTCGTCTGGAAAGACCAAGGTAATAGTTTAATTTGAGCGGCCTTTGACAAGGGCAGCATTCTGCCAAGAACAATCCCCACCCGTGAGAGTGACTTGAGGTGTCCTGGTGTTGAAAGGGAGGGACGTAGGTGTTCCTTCTGGTTTTACAGGGAGAGTGGATTTGTGGTTCTTCCAAGCTGTTGAGTTTTCTCTTTCACTTTGTCTGCTGAAGGCAGTGGGACAGGTGAGGAGGGAAACTAGATAGAAACCCTCCCATTCTTTGCATTTATTTGCTTCTACTATTTGCATAACCGTCAGTTTAGGGCTGTGTGTTACTCCTCTGGACTTCTTGCAAATACCTGCCCAGGTAAGCAGGAAGCAAGCATTTCCCCCCGCACTTTGCTAACCCAGAAAGGTACTGGTTTGCAAGAATGTCTGCCGATCCTGTTCTTGAACAATTTCCCTGGGTCCTGCGCTCTTCGAGGAGGCTGATTCATTCAGTGTGCACCGGGCCAGCCACAGTGAAGGATGCTAGAGTCAGTCTCGCTCTCCTTCCTCGTAGTTGCCTTCCTTCTCCCCTTACACCGTGTGTGGCTTCAGGACTAGAAGTTGTCAGTGTTAGGATGGGCAGGAGAAAGTTATGCTGGGGCGATTAAGATCTCTGAGTCTAACGCATATTGTGAGCATGCTAAGGAAACTAATGGGGTTTTGTGTGGGAGCCAACACTGCTTAAACACAACCATCAGTGAAAGCAGCCTAGGTGTGTGGTTTGCCTAGGAGAGCAAGTTGGGAAGTCCAAAGCTGTCTTGGGTTTGCTCAGCAATGTTAAAATACAAAAACCTCATATGCAGTGCTGGTGTCTTAGCTCGTTTCTCATCATGCTGTGATACGTTGCAGTCACAAAACAACTTGAAAGTGTATATGGCTTATAGTTCTAGTCCATTGTGGCAGAGAAGTCACAACAGCCTGAGACTGAGAGAACTGGTCACATTATATTCACAGCCATGAGCAAAGAGAGATGGGTTAATACTTGTATACCAGTGCTCTGATAGCTATTGGGTTTTTCATTCAATGTAGGACCCCAAGACCAGGGAATGGTGCTGCCCACAGTGAACACGTCATCCTTCATTAATGGTTGTAATTGAGATATGTTGTTATTTTGCTTAAGATTAGAAATTAGAAAACAGGAAAAAGAAAGTGTTGCAGGAGACGGGAACTGGGGATGGGAACCGGTGCGATACAGCATGAGCCATGGAGAGCACGTGAACCGTAGTTTATTATAGCTAGACTGAAAGGTGGGGAGACAGACATGAGGGAGAGAGTAAGGGAAGGGAAGAGATGAGAGATGAGAGAGCGTAAGTGGGCAGGGGTCTGTCCTTTTTGTTTTTTCGAGACAGGGTTTCTCTGATTGTTTTGGAGCCTGTCCTGGAACTCCCTCTGTAGACCAGGCTGGTCTCGAACTCACAGAGATCCGTCTGCCTCTGCTTCCCGAGTGCTGGGATTAAAGGCATGCACCACTAATGCCTGGCCAGGGGTCTGTCCTTTAAAGAGGTCCTTTGCATCCGTGTGCAGATTGGGTCTCGTGGAACTCTGGTCTGGCCAGAGAGCTGCCTGAGTGAATCTTGCTAGGTAACAGGGCAGGCCAGAGTAATGCCTGAACCTTTCAAGATGACCTTTCACAGTCATTCTCAAAAGCCCTGACAAATGGACAGTTAAAAGTAACTATCACATTTGGGTTTGCCAGCCAAGCCCCAACTAAGGGTCTTCTCCCCACCACCTTTTCTCCTTAGGAAGGGGAGAGGAGATCCCTGTCTGATGGAGTCTTCCCTGACTGTAATCCTTCACAGAAATAGCACGGCATCTCTTCTGTTCTGCCACAGACCCCAGTTTGCTCAGGTGTGGCGTGTGGTGTCAGAATGTGTGTTAGCTTGGGGAAAGCAGGTACCCTAGGGTTTTCCTCCTCTTCCTTTTAAAATAGGTAACATTTTAAATAGATAACATTTATTGGCTGCCTACAGATATTGGCTGGATACTCTGGTAGGTGCTTTTCTGGGGATTTTCTCATGTGAAGATGTAAGGCTTACATTCTTTATTTCCCTGTAGTCTGGATGTGGGAGTTTGCAGTGCATGGGAGTCCTCTCGGTGCTTCCAGAGTCTGATGGAGGCCAGCTAGATGGAGGCCCGAGGTTTCTAGGAGGGAAGGATAGCTGTCTAGGAAAGTTTAGGCAGAGAGGAAGATGGTTCCTGCTTCTCAGGCACCAGGGTGGTGGACCCTCAGAGTGTCACTAGGGAGATGTATCTTTTCTAAAACCCTTTTAAAACTTTGAGGCAGGGTCTCATGTAGTTCAGGCTGGTCTCAATCAAAGATGACCTTGACTTTATGTCTGAGCTCTGAGTACTGGAATTTCAGATGCATGCTACCGTGCCTGGTTTATATGGTTCTGGGGTTCTACCCAGGGCTTCTGGTATGCTGGGCAAGCACTCTACCAACTGGGCTACGTCCTTAGCCCTCTTGTGTGAAATATGTATAAGGAGACATCAATCAAAGAGAACAGACTACCAACCCCAGTGAGTGTCTCTTTGTGGCTCCTCGGCAGAGGTCACTTGTGTACTACGTCCTTACTGTTTAGCTCCAAAGATTTAGATTGCTAATATTGTTCCCTGTACAAGCACGAAAGGCTAAAGGCCTTTTACATGTATTAACTCCTTCCATTCTGAGGACAACCACAGGAGCTAGGCTTTAATCATTGCCCTGTTTTACATGAGAAGGGCGAGACAAAGCCACCCAGCTAGGAAAATATAAAGCTGGAAGTCGTGCACAGCAGCCTGCTAGTAGAGCCACGGTGAGGTTCACCACCATGTGTCTAGACCCGAGGATCCCGAGCTGTACCCTGTGGTACAGACTGAATTTGGTGAAGTGACCGGTAGAGGAGGCCTGCGGTTACCGAGTGACTTCACCTTCTGTGTCTCAACTCTAAGAGGGAGATTAGAATTTAAAAGCTCTTGTCTTTCCTAGTCAGCTTCTCAGTGGACTTCTGACAGACCGATTTGGATGGAAGGGAGAAAGCAGGACCTAAAAAGCACCAGTTAGGCAAACTCACGGTTGTTTCCAGGTAATATATGATATGAGAAACCTAGAAAAAACCATAGACGGCTTTATCCCTGAATCAGATTCATTAAATTCAGAACCTCAGGCACTGAGGACAAGTGACCTCTGAGATGTGATCTTTGTGGATTTGGGGACTCAAGGTAAATATGCGCACAGTAGGGCAACTCAGGATCCTAACTATGTAATACCTGGCTAGAGTCACAGTCACAGCTACATTCCCTAACCTCAGGCTTGTGTCTTCGCAGTCCTCAAGGCATCTCGATTATGATACATCATGACAGATGGTAGGATGGAGGACCTTGCACGTCAGCATTGCCAGGGCTCTCCTCATTCCACACCAGGGTCTTTCAACCCCACCTTTTTTCTTGTCTCTAGTGGAGAGTCCTTATTGGTGGCTGTATTTGAATTTTATTCTCGAGCCAACTTTTTTTTTCATTTTCTTTTTTAAGTATCCCAGACTGATCCCAAACATACTATGTAGCTGACTGCAGCTTTAAGCTCTTGAACTTCCTGCCTCTACCTCCTGGGTTCTGGGATGAGAGACAGGCATCACTATGCTCCGGTTGTGAAGAACTGGGGGATCCAACCCCGATTTTGTATATGCTAGGTGAACATTCCACCAACTGAGCACCATTTTAACCCCTGAAGCTGACTTTTGCATTCTGAACTTCGCCATGGTGCTCAGTGGGGACAATGGGAGGGGAGTAGTAAATTGGAGAGGACCAAGACAATGTGTTTTTGTTGTTATTTATTTTCCTTTTTCAAGGATCTGCTGTTGCAGGAAACAAGGAGGGGGCAGGAGTTAGCGTGAGTGCAGTACAATGCTTAGAACGGGTAGTGATATACAGAAACGGATTTGGAGCTTCCAGTTCCTGACTATGACTTCCCTTTACTATGTTCCGAAACTTCGAAGGATGAGCCCATTATAAAAGTGATCATTAATAACTAAAAATAGTCACTAGCCTCAATG